TTTTTCCAATTTTTTTTTTTTTTTTTTTTTTTGATGAAATTTCGTTAAATATTAAGTTAGACTATTCCTTTATTGAAAGAAATAAACGTGAACCTCTTTATTTCGCAATACGCTGGCATGTAAATTTTAGCACTCGATGTGTATAGATAGAAGAATGAAGATGTTGCAGAGATGAATGTGAGGATTTTCACAGAATGCACAGTGTTATTCTGCTCTTATTAGTGTGTATACATAAGGTAATTAATTATTGCACTGTGTATATCGTTTAAGCATCTCAAAAATAATACTTATTTCAAGATAGTTGATAGTTTTCGTATCGCTTTTTTTTGTAAAGACACAGTACCTGAAAAGAGAAAAGAATTCAATAAGTTCATTATAGTTGTTAGTTGAACATGGATAGATAGGTAGATGAATAGTTAGGTAGTTACAACCAAGTTAGGGTACTTGTGGCGGAACCAGCTTATTCACCACAGTTTTGACATTTGATGATGGCCAAGCCGAAGATGAAGAAAATAGCTTGCCGCACATGGACGGTTTCCAAAGCAAGCTTCCTCCGGGAATCCTTCCTCACGGGTTGCCACAAGTTAAGGAAGTCCAGCCTGCTGTCACACAAGTAGAACAAGAGAAAGAAAAGGAAAAACCTAAAAAGGAAGGTGTGTAGATTATTTTTTCCTTGCATGAAACTCTTCTGCTACTAAGAAATGCTGAGAATGATTTCTGTCAATTTTTTCAAAGTACGTGAGCTCAGCGAAGAGGAGAAACAGATGATCATTCTGTCGGAAGACTTCCAACGATTCCTGGATCGCACTAGCAGAATCGTGGAGAGAGCACTGGGCGAATCGGTCGATATTTACACTGATTATACCGGTACTATGGACGGCGAGGATGGAATGTGAGTAAAATAGAAAATTTTTCAATCATCCTTCGTTGCAATACACACGGTTGTACTAGATAGATTTATCCGGTTAATGTAATTTTATTCGTAGTTTTAATAGATTTAATCATCTACAGGGACGAAAAAAGTCATCAACGGCTCTGGTTAAATCGCTCGTTCATCTGTGAACGATGGTCGCGTAATCGTTGTGTGACTTCCATGGACTGGTCGCCACAGTTCCCCGAGCTTTTAGCAGCCTCGTATAACAACAACGACGACACGCCGAACGATCCCGATGGAGTGTGCTTAATCTGGAACACGAAATTTAAGAAAACAACCCCGGAGTTTATCTTTCACTGTCAGTCGCCGGTTATGTCCACCACGTTCGCCAGATTCCATCCAAATTTGATCCTGGGCGGTACCTACTCAGGCCAGATCGTACTTTGGGACAACCGAGTGCAAAAGAGAACTCCCATACAACGTACTCCCTTATCCGCCAGCGCGCACACTGTAAGTAACGTGCCATTTGCTAATGTGTATCAATCAAATAGTTAAGCCCGATAGAATTGGGAAAAGAGGAAAGAGCATGATGAAATCCTTGCTTGTCCTGCAGCACCCTGTGTATTGCTTGAGCGTCGTTGGCACACAAAACGCACACAATTTAATCAGTATCTCGACGGATGGAAAATTATGCTCGTGGAGCTTGGACATGCTATCGCAGCCGCAGGAGGCGTTGGAACTGCACACGAAACAATCGAAAGCGATCGCTGCCACGTGTTTAGCTTTCCCACACGGCGATGTGAACAATTTCGTCATGGGTAGCGAGGATGGGACTGTTTACTCTGGTAGGTGTAGTTATAACTAATAAAAGCTTAATTAATTTATATTTATTTTCTTATTAGAATCCACGCTGTTATTAATAAGACAATTTTGATATTGCTGAACAGCTTGCCGGCATGGTAGCCGCGCAGGATTGACAGAAACTTACGAAGGACATCAAGGGCCAGTTACCGGTATCAGCGCGCACGCGGTACAAGGCGGAATAGATTTCTCACATTTATTCCTAACGTCTTCCCTTGACTGGACGATCAAACTGTGGAGTCTGAAGGAGAATAAGCCACTATACTCCTTCGAGCACAACGGCGACTACGTCTACGACGTTGCCTGGTCACCGACGCATCCGGCGCTATTCGCCGCGGTCGATGACTCTGGCAGGCTGGATTTGTGGAATCTGAATCAGGATACAGAGGTACCTACTGCTAGCGTCGTCGTTGATGGATGTCCAGCTTTGAATCGAGTTTCATGGACACCAAGCGGATTGCACGTCACTGTGGGTGACGATACTGGTAAAATATGGGTCTATGACGTCGCTGAGGTACGTATGACGATCGTCTTGATGATTTGCTTGAGTCATTATATCTTAAATTTGCATACAACGCTATCACATACGAGGCTCACACGAATAGATTTGTATTTGATTCTTCTTCTAATATAGCATCTAGCTCACCCGCGAATCGACGAGTGGAATAAGTTTTTGTACACGCAACAAGATCTGAAGAACAACAAGGCGGACGAAGAACTGGATAAGTTGAACCTTAGCTCTGGTCCATCGTCGTTGACATCTATGACATCTATATCGTCGGTTCCTCTGAGATAAAGACCATAATTTTTTTTTAATTATCTAATGGTTTTTCCCTGAAACCTATCAAATTTATCGTATTCGCAGTCGTATAAGATATTAAGAAAAATTTGGTTATTGCTTCGATGATTATTATGTGTAATATCGAGCAATTAGTAGACAATTTTCTTAATGGCCTTTGCTATTAACAAAGCTTGGCTATAATGAAATGACTTTTAATGCTTTAAAGTTATGCATATTATTAAATGTTACATTGGTCATAATTCTATAATAGAAAACTATATATATCTTTAACTGATACAACAAGATATTAAACAGATATATTGGAATTGTATGTAATCTACATGTAAATAATATTTTAATTCTGTTTTGAAGTTTTTAGAAATAATTTGTGGATAAAAATTGTATGTTTCGCAATAATTTATCGGTATAATCTGAGAATGTAATAGTGTATTACAAATAGTATAATGCAAATAGCATATAAAATGCCAAATTTTATTTTATATGCCAAAAGTACTCAAAGATAAACCTGGAAAATTAGGAAAATGTTCTCTAAATATATTTGTTGTAATATACTCATTAAGCATGTTAATACAATTACATAATTCATGATTCAAATAATTTGCTATGTTATTTCTTTTGTTCAGTCATATCTTTCATAATAATCATCGATTTTTTTTTTTTTTAATTAAGTATTTATTGAACACTTTTGTATTATTTCGTTCTAATTAATACAAATGTGTCGTTTATTGTGTAAATTGTGGCAAATAAATCTTTCTAAGCATATATTTTTCTCTTTTAATCCACGATTATATATACTTTGCATATGTACTATAACCTATGTGTCATATTATATAAGTGTCGATGACATCATGTCGGCCATGACACATCGACAGACGACAGCGTGAAGTTATCAACGTAATTTAAATACGAATGACGAAATGGCGGTTTCGTCATCTTATCGACTAATAATGAAATCATCCTCTTTTCCCGATAGATTAATATATTATTTTTTGTATTATATATTTCTACAACAATTTACAATAACAGAATACCGCTGACAAAACTGACCTTTGCTAGGCGCCTGCGTCACCCACCGACCCTGATCTGCGGTAAGCTGTCAGTGAGAGTTACTGGCAGTCAGTGTTCGTTCGTCGAGTCGAGTGGTTCGGTATTGTATTTCCGTTGTGTCCGGGCTTTCTAATTCAGTATTGCTCCCGTTCTCTTCCTGTCACTTTTGAAAGAGCAACGCTGTACGTTACGACAGACAGAGAGAAAAACGTCGCAAAGATGGATGAGAAAACTGGTAAGTGGTAAAATAGAACCTTTCATTTTACATATATGCCCAAAATGCATTGAAGGAAATTGATGAACGGCTGTTCTTTCTTTAAAATCAACCGTAAACATCGATCTTCTCGGAAAACTGGCACGATGCAATTTTCACACGAACAGCTGTTACTTCTTTGCGCATTCGTTATTCAGAATATTTGGACTTAAATTTTTTTGGAAATATAAAAGAGAATCGGCAAAAGGTGTGTTAAAAGTGACAAAATTTGTGGGCGGTGATTACCAATTTTATCTGCTGCGATAAGACGAAGATAAGAAACTACATAATAGTGATACATTTGTTTATTTCGTTTAAACAGAGCACATTGTGATGACGCCAAAATGCAAGACTACAAATTCCACAACATTGATAATAGAGAGGCAAGCTCTGAAGCCTCCGACACAAAACGGTACTGAGAACGGCAATGTCCATATTGCAGGCGGTGATCATAAGGGAATTGTTATCAACAAACAGGCTGTTGCTGGTACATATATTAACATCTTAATATATAACCCAAGTTAATTGATGGCACTTGATAGATAGCAATAAAATATCTAATTTTTGCAGTGACAAATGGAGAAATATATCCTGCTCAGCTCTGCCTACAATTTAGAGTATTCCTTGTGAGTGCACAAACTGGCAAACATACCCAAGAACAAAGGACCTTGCAATTCTGGTTTAGTGATGTGCTGCCTGAAGCAGAACAACCAAGTATTGCACAGGAATTCTTCAGAGAACTTGTCACTCCACAGGAGTTTCCTAGAGGTAAGTTGTAATACAATATGCATTGATTGATAGCACACATATATCTCTTGAAACTCTATCCTTACTCAGAAAAAGAAATGTATCTGGTTTGGTTGGTTAACTAAGTCAATCAGCACTTCTTTGTTCCTCCATGAACACCAAAGTCTAATTTTAAACACTTGTATATTTAGCAAAAAAGTACAGCAAACTTGAATGTGATTCCTAATTTCTTTATGATATTTAAAGAAGAATGTCAAATTCAGTACTTAAGAAAATTTTAATATTTCAATTGATTTTTTTATATATCCTTAATAAATTTTTCAAGATATAAATAATTTTTTTTTGTTGCATTATACAATAATATTAATGATTTCTTATAGATTATGTAGGATTTATCAAGAAGATCATGAAACTAATGCAACACAAGTACCCTAGTATCAAGAAGCTGGAGGTAGAACTAAAGCAACTAGAAGAACCAATTACACTTCCAACCAGACCATGTAAGTTAATCATTATTTCCTCTTTCTTAATGTATGCTCCGTGGACATCCACATATATTGTATATTAGATTTAGTCATACATTTCCTACGTACATTCTCATTTTCAAATATATAATCTTACTTCGGCTCAGTAAAAAAGAAATCTATACATGGGAGTAGGAGTTAACAGTTATTTGATTAGGTTGATTGTGCTTAATGGTTCCTTATTGGAGCAACGTATCTCAAGTGCACATTACAGCTGAGCTCAAAGGAAATACACACTTGAATATAACTCTCACTGACTCATTATATAATTTGAGTCAGAATTTTCCCATGTGCATTCTGTACTCACAATTTGTGTATTGTGTATGTACATTATATACTGAGCGTGAACGTCTATATTTCATACTTAATTTCTATTATTCACAGCTACCGGTCACTTACTATTCACACTTCCTCGGTCTAAGAAAGTTATGTGGAAATCAGGTTCGAGAATGAAAAAGAATTCAGCATTTCTGTCACATTTTTCATCGATGTTTTACTCTCTTTTTTTCTCATACACACAGGCTAATAGCGAAAACAAAACTGACACACATAATGTAGTTTCTTGTAACACATTAATATACCTATTGGTTAGAATGATTGCGCTCGGACTTTTTCTGGTGAAATTCTAGATTGTCAAGCAAGGAAATTCTCTACTTGGCTAGTAGATATATATATTCTGTCGCTTGGCACAATAACTCGGTAACCATAACAACATTGGCTTAACATAGTTCGCCTACTTATAATTTGCATCACATCAATTCATATCATTATACTTTCTTCGTTACTTTGTGAAAAGGAAAGAAATATAAAAATATGATTTTTATATTGAATTACTTTCGATTGAGAAATCGAGATAAAACATGAGTTCAAAAAATTTATTATGCACTTTAATCATATGAGAGGGGATTTTCCGACCCATTTAACTGATCGATCAGTAGGGAATACACTAACTAGAGTGTAAAAAACATCCCACTTAACCACTTGACTTGACCTGGATATCATATTTCCTATATGGTGTACAATATGCATATTTATCCCCACAAAGCATGACTACAGAAACAGGAAACTATCGCCCATTACATAAAACATTTCATAACACGACATACACAAACAATATAAAATTAGACGATGTATATACATAAGTTGTTTTCTTATTTCATTTCATATGTGCGTTCTTTCAATTCAAAATTCAATTTCAACTGTGCAGTTTCGTTCAATCACCAATCTTGAGTACAAACATATGTAGTGTGTTAGAAGTATACATTTAACATATCTAATACATATCATTTCTAAAACTCAAGTCCCGTTTCTGTTTGACCTAGATTCTAAGTAATTTTAATTGATCATTCGTTAATTTACTACATAGTACAGTCACATTCTAGTACTCATTCTGTAAGGAAATGCATCCTATGTAGAGCACGAACCTTCTACTCATGGTCACATTAGCTGCCATATACACATATATGTGTTCGAGTTTCACTCTTACATATACATTTAGTTGTGTCCTTCACTAACGATTCTAGCTCGAATCTAGTTACATAGAAATAAGGACTAGTTAAAACATGTGCACTATCGCAGCTATATTACACATACCTTCCAAACTTCCGCATTTTTACTTTAAACAAATTAGAAACTATCCAATACACGAAACTTAGACTCATCTACACAGCAGAGAATTTAACTTGCATATGTTATGGAGTGCTGTTCTTCTTGTTTCGATGCTATTAACTGTAATTTAAGATTTATCATAGGCAGACATGCGGCTTAAAAGTCTGACAAATCTAACACAGTATCGTTCATTTCATTGCACAGTAAATAAAATTATCTTTTTTTGTTTGCTAAAAAGTATCTACGGATGAAATCGTCACGGGTCAAGTGATTGAACTCACGGTAGAAAAAGTTCTGGAGCTTATTGAATCCGCGTACCCGAATCCGGTAACTGTGGTCGATATAGCGAAGTAAGTAATAGCATTATACAATATTCAGATGAAGTATATCAAAAAGGAATAAACTATTGTACAGCAGTGCAAGCTTAACGTAATGTTCATGCTATTAGGGAACATGGTTGGGAATCATCAGCTGTGGAAGCCAAATTAAAAGAACTACAAGAAAAAGGTCTTGTTAAAGCAATGGATCATGGGGCCTTTACTCGTGTCGTCCATCAAGATACTCAAGTCCAGGTAATCATTTAATTATAATTAATTGGCCAATGAATCGTTTATACGTTAATTTACACGTGTACGTGTAACGTCGTAAAATCTATTTTTAGGTAGTGAAGCAGATGCCAACGATGGCGAGTGCGAAGCAACCTACCATAGCTATTATTACAGCTCAGTATTGCGAGAAACTCGCTGTGGATTCGATGATCGAAAACAAAGAAACCTTTGTTCGCTACACCACCGTTGGTAAGATCCATTGTTTATTTTCGATTTTCGAAGAATAATAATCCCAAAATTATAATATTTGTGATACACTTCAATAATATTGTAAAATGTAACTAATCTCTACTCTCATTAAACAAATAGTTGTAATTGAATTCTTGCAGAATATTAGAAAAATAGCTTAACTGACTCCCCTCTGCTTTTCTTTCTAAATATACGCTTCTAAAGAGAATTATCGCATATGACCATTTTTACAATATTTCAATCGAATTATTTCTGTTAAATCTCTTCCTATTTTTTCTCTCTTTTGCTCTCCCTCCCCTTGCAAATAAAACCGCCAATATATGCATTATCCGTCAACTGACGGTGAATACTCAAACAATATTGCGAATGTATATTTCACTATGCATGAAACTTTAGGTACCGCAACCTCACCAGACACATCAGATGGAGTTCCACGAACAACATGCCGTTTTGGTAAAGTAGTTTGTAACATAGCTCTTTATTGTTTTAATGTCACTTTAATGTTTCATTTCATAGCTTGCCAATTGCTTGCGACCGAAGCAACGCAGGGCCATGCGGTGCTGTAAACGTGCACTTCGGAACATCGTTATCAACGTTTCTTTCATGTCATAAAACATTTCTCTCATATTACGTTTTAGTTAATCTTATTTCTCATAATATACTTTTCCATATCACAAACATTTAATATTAACAGAATGATTTTGTATAGCTTATGTTTGTCTTATGTGCATTGTCTTTATCAGGCTTAATTGTGATTTGTATTATATTTGTTTTGTCTGGGTTATATATATTATCTCGTCACTATTTATTTATTACTTTATTCACATTTATTACGTTTTATTGAATTATAATTTTAAACTTATATTTATTTACCTTATTATTATTTAACTTATTATTATTTTAAACTTTTATATTTTTTATATATTTTTAATAAAGGACAGGGAAAGATCTTTTTCTTGTATTTAAACTACACTAGATTTTAAAAAATAATTTTTTAATAGATTTTTAATACTGTTCTTCTTCAATATTGCGTGTAATACCTCTAGATATTAGATTACGAATATTCATTCATAATGGAATGATTTTAATCTGTTTTATTATCACATATATATATATATATATATATATATATATATACATATATATATATATATATACATACACATATACACAGGTTTTTCGACTTAATATACTGATAGCCGCACAATGCACATGTATTATATACACGCATCAAGAAAAAATAAAAGGAAATGTGAATTCTAAGATATATCAAGATATCGAACAGATACTTTCTGTTTTAGGAGAATCAAACGTGTACACTTTGGGCAATATTGGTGCTCACAGGATTGTGTGTACTAAATTACCAACAGTGGGACCTACAAGGGTAGCAATGTCTACTGCTGCTGGCAATACCACTACCAGATTGTTAGGTATATATCATGCTTTTCCATCAAAACTTGTGCTCTTATTTTTCTTTAATTTTCACTAAATATTACTATTTGTTTTATCTTATATATGTGTAGGTACTTTCCAAAAGGTGGATTATGTCTTCCTTGTCGGAGTCGGTGGAGGTGTCCCTCACTATACGGATTATAATAAACATGTACGACTGGGCGATGTGGTGATATCTCATCCAACACCGCTTAACAATAAATATGCGTACATTTACTGCGAAAGCGCTAAAATGAATGAAAACGGAAACTATCATTTCGAAACCAAGGAGTACTGCCCACCAAATCTCGGTTTACAGGAAATTGCAGCGTCTCTTAAGAAACAGGTAACGCAATCGAATTATATTTGTGAACATCGTGTTGCACATTTTCTTGTATCAAAAATACTCACATATTCCGTAGATTGAGGACGAAACGACCCCACCGTGGCAGACATACATGAATGAAGGTCTAGAGATTCTGAAGAATCAATCGGAACACGACTTCAATGCGCCGCCACCAGAATCTGACAAGTTGTACATGGCCATTGGTGAAAGAGACGTTATTGAAGTAGCTCATCCAACCGCACCTCAAGATTCTGAAAATAAAAGGTAATAGATCATTATTTTTTCATTTTACTTCAACTATACCGAACATTTCCATTTTGAATCCTCAGCGGCTCAACTTAATATGTTTATTAATGTAATGTTTATAGAATTGTCAGGTGCTCTCGAATCCACTTGGCGCCAGTGGCATCCGGTCGACAAATTGCACGAGATGACCAACTCAGGCAAAAATTCGCTAGTCGCTTCGGAGCGCTCGCGTTCGATGATGCGATGGAAGCTGTAGTAGAGAGTATCCTAGGTAATTGTCGCGAGAGTTTCGCTGTGATCCGTGGTATCTCCGATTACAAGGATGGTATCCGAAGCAAAGAATGGCAAAGTCATGCGTCGTTGGCAGCAGCTAGCGTAATGAAAACTATAATTTGCGCCATGGATCCACCGACCAATGACTAATGTCACTCTTCTATATTATCTTTCTAATTTTATTTCACGTAATATATAATGAAACATGCATTTCTTTATACGAAAAGGGTAGGATTTAAAATCAAAATAGCTGTCAAACATACACATATACATACTGTACTAAGTACACAAAGATGGAAGAACGCAAATGTACTTTAATTCTACCGAACAATTCTCGCACCGCTCAAATTTTTTTACAGATTTTCTTAGACAATGCCATTTTTACAGATTTTCTTAGACAATGCCATTTTTATAAACAGATAAAATTTTTTGTTTGACAATATTTCTGAAAAAATGACTCCACGACTATCTTATTAATATAATAATATGAATTAATATAATAATAATATAAACCATGTTATTGATATTGAAATTAGGAGCGCTCAATGTTAAATTAATATCTATATTAGAATAAAAAATATAATTCTTTGTCTCGACACATTTTATCTGTAGATATAATAAGAGAATGGTGCCATTGTTGTATCGTGCAGTTGTCATGTAATGATTAACAAGTTATGATGCGCAAGTAAAGTATCGTATACTTCACAGAAATAAAAATTCTGTACATTCCTGTTGGATGTACATTAAAGGTGTTTCAAAGACCAAATTGTTAGAGGCAAATTAGGACAAGGACTAATGAGCGCTGGAATATATGATGCTTCGAGATTATCCGCAAAATAGACAAAAAATTTAGCAGTAACTATTTACTTAACTTAGTCTGACAATTATGCTAAGTCCAAAGAAGACATAGGGCAAAGCAGTTAGGCAGTCTATTAAATAGGCGAACTGATCTAGTTGTAGATGCGATAGTCACAAATGGCAGCTGAAAGTATACTTGACAGTATTTAACAAATCGGAATCAAATTATAGTTACGACATTGCTGAAGTAATTATTACATGTTTGAGAGTATATATTGATGTTTTCATCACAGTTTTGATCACAGATATATGCATTCTATATTCGCGCAATATAAATCTAAATGGAAAATCATCAAAAACAAATTCGCATTTCTCTGAAGAATCCTACAACATATACGGAGATATATACAAGATAGATTTCTATTAAAATGTGCCAACGTGTTCATACTTGTTAAATTTCACTGCCCTTTTTAAAATCTGGATAATATCCACGTCAAAAATTTTCGAAATGAATTTTCTAAACTTCAAGATCAGAAATTTGTCCGAGATTTATGATTTCATTGTAACGAGAAATTTCTACTTAAGAAATTACAGGGTAGTGTGCTGAAACTTAATGTCTGAATATCAAATTTTAAATGTGAACCTAAAAAGATAGATGAAATATATATATAGGAGTGTTGTTAATGATGAAAAGAATCATAAAATTTCAGCAATAGTTAAAAATAACACAGAAACTACAAAAGTACGATTGATTCTAGCCATAGAGATATACATAGTAAAAATGTAGTATTTATATTTATTTATTTTTCTCTTTTCTTTGTGCACAGTATATTACTTTCTTTAGATAAAAGTTACGTAAATTCAAAAAAGAAAACATCTCATTAATATGCATAGCATTCATTTTAGAAAAATGTTTCGCTTATGTAGCAAGAACATTAACGATCATTGAACGATAGGCAGACGTAAAATTGACACAAACGACAAAAGTCACTTGTTGTGTAGAAGCACACATTTGAAATTCTATCGAATATAAAAAATAACTTTAATATATGTATACACACACACATAGATAAATATGAAAATACAGAATCTATATATATATATATATATATACACAAAAATGTTTAATATATAATACATAATACATTATATAAATCTCGTATGCGAGCGAGAGTTATGTCATAGAATACTTTAAAATAACTTACCTGGCGACAGATTCCTATTTTAGGCCTAATATTAGTTATGTTATAATCAATGGAATTTGTTATATTAACCGAGGCTTTATAGAAGCCACGAGCTTCCAGTCGTGCATTTGTATTTGCGTTATTACGCGCTTTCGATACTAGTCGCAATACTGTGTTTTTTACTTGTATTTATATATTTATTCCCTACTTACTAGATTATAATAGATTATAAATATGGCTTAATAATTAATGTAATATGTACTATTGTGTATACACACATGTCCACTTAATTCGTATTTCGTGGGATGTTATCATCTCTCACAACTCGTGAACATTTATTTGATAAATATAATGTAAGTTATTATTTTATGATTTTTTGTGTGCAAATGACTTATATGATATAATTTTGAAGCATTGACTCTTCAGTACAGCTTTTAATATCCAAAAATTTCTGAAGATGTAGTCAAAGCTTCAAAGTTCCTATTAATATCATTGTATTAGAGAATATAGGTTTCATCAATCTTCAATTAGATTTTATCAAAAACATGCGTTTTATTTTTATTTATATATTTAACTATATTAGATTGTTTATATTGTTCATCAAATTATGAAAACATCAGAACCATTATGGCTTTTGGAAGAAAATGTGTGCTTCGTATCTATCCGTACGTAAATTAGTCTTCCTGTTAACACGCAAGGATTTATTAGCAAAGTCTTCTTGAAGTGAGATTTTGGTATTCGAGCTTAGATATCTTATAGTGAAGACTGGGAAGTGCCCGTATCAAAGCTGTCTCTCTCGCACATGAACAAATAAAAACAATGTGCTTTTACTTATGGGATGATGGCAATGGACTGATAATACGTAAATTGTAGCGAGATTATGGATGACTAATGTTTCATGGTAACTACGCAATGTATTTACCCAAGTGATAGACTCGAACGTGGTATTTAATCTGCTTCACAGCAGAAAAGAAGCTGTGATAATTCTGATGTTGGCCATAGTAGAGAATAATCGACTTGTCGATCACAATGTCAATTTGTGTCGCTGGAATTTGAGCACTGCAATTTGCACACTGCGCACACGCGAAGAGATGAGATAATATATCATCTTTATATTGCAGAAAACATGAGTTAGGTATATATAGTTTCGGTTTGGTAAAATGTGTATTAAGCGATCGAAAAATACATTTAAATTATAATATGTCTCGACGTGTGCTACAAATATTACAGCATTTATTTACATCGCAGTATCACACTCTTTAACTTCTTCGTTTCTTCGTGTGACGAAGTGTTTCAAAAATAAATTATGTGAATGAGTGTATTATTGTGCATATATTATTATTAAATATATACGATCAATCGTTGATATCCTGTTTGTTGTAATATACATATATTCATACACAGAAGAAGTCATCCTCTCTAACGTTAAACTATTATCTGCCATGTGTTGCTGCGATACTTGCATGAAACTATTACTTCACAAGGCGCACTGTAAGTTACTTCACCTCTCTTCAATAAATTTCGATTTTTCAGTGTCACTCGTGTTTTCAGTGTCGTTCTCACATTTTAGGGTCTCCGGGGCCAATTTTTGCATCTCCCGTTCCTTCGGATTCAATTTACCATACTGATTCCACGGTTGCTCCTTTGAAGTTCCGAACATCATGTAAATGATGCAGCCCGCCAATGAGTTCGCAGCAGCAATCAGGAAGACCAAACGCCACTGCTCTACAGTTTGCTGCACAAAAATATCCATTCGTATATTTGTAATCGTGAATCGCGAGATAAAGCGAACGTTTTCGTGAACCAGATGCAAATGACACTTACGTTATTATTCGTTAATATGCCGACGATCACCGGTGAAATAAAACCGCCCCATATAATGACCATACCACAGAATCCGAAAAGGACACTGGCGTAATTCGGACTGAGGTCAACGAAGTTTGCTAAAGTAGAGGCGGAAACTGCGCCGTTCACCGTGATGCCCATCATCATGAAAATGACCGCGAGCAATGGTTGACAACCGCTAAATCCGAGAGCTATAATGAGAATGCCTTGAATGCCTGTGCATACGAAAGTCGCCAGTTTCCTCACGTTCGTTAGGCTCATTCTGTTCGTGCGAAACAGCCAGTCACTCATCATCGAGTAAAAATACGAGAAGATCATCCGGAGTATATGCGGCGCTCCTGCCAAGAACCCAGCCTGCAAACAAAACATCGGGATGAAATCTCTAATCGGCATAGAACGAAACGTATCACTCACGAATACGAAGAATGATAAACTCACAGCGTTGATGTTCCATCCGTGAACAAAGTTGAAATAACTCGGTGCCTGCGCCAGGAGAGTTAAGAAACCCCAGGCACCGCTCCAATGAGCGGCGATGGTGACCCATATTGGTCCTGATCGGAATATCTCTTTCCAGGGTATCTGTGTCGGTTCATCGTCAATGGACCCAGCGATGTTGTCTATAATATACTTCTTCTCGTCATCGGAGATTCGTGGATGTTGCTGCGGTGAATCGTACACGAGGAAGTGCCAGAAGCAATACCTACGAATTATAACGACTTGGTTCAATACAGGATACTTGAAGTTCATCGTGAGCTTGGAATAGTCATGTGTCCGTGGAAGTACTCACCAAATCACTCCCATCAAGGATGTCACATGAAAAGATGCGCCCCAACCGAGAGTACTGCTAACAGCCGCACACAAGGGGTAAGTAATCGCTACTCCTACAGAACTCCCTGAAAATTAATTAGCCTAAAGTTTAAAAATATCGATCATTTCTTGCTACAACATAATTTTATGTGTAACAAAATTGATCCAATATCTTACCAAGATAAGCACTGACGAATCTGCTTCTTTCATCCGGTGGAATCCACTTGGCTGTCATGTCGTGCATAGAAGGCCACATGACACCCTAAAACGAAAATTAAATATCGATATTTTTGAAATATAAGGATATATTCCATGAGAACGTGACTTACTGCTATTAATCCCTGTAACACTCGGAGAGCGATCAAACTGTACAAATGCGTCACGTAGGGAATAAAAAATCCTAAGAGAGCAGTTAGGAAGTTTCCTAAACCGAATACAAGTTTCGTACCGTACCGCCTGGCCAACAGACCACCAGGCAATTGCGACAACCAGTGCAACCAGTAATAAGCACCCAATGCCAATCCCTGTTGATACTCGTTCCAAGTGAATCGATCTTCATACTACAGAAGATAACAGAATAAGAGATGTCACATATAAAAGAGTAGTATTTTCAAAAAGATATTTACGTAAATACCGTAATGTTTTCAGGGGACAACGTCGTAATCGGGAAAGAAAGAGAAACATTGCTATCTTGAGCGGTCTCGTTCGTCCAAGATACTGTGCTATTCTCTATGTTACATTGGGCGATTGCGGCGGCTTTAGGATACGGTAACACCATCGCCACTATAGTGAGATTCAAATTTATTCTCAACACATAATTAACGGCGAAGCCACAAAAGACCATATACCAAAGAACATCTCGACAAGTAAACAGCTCTTTCTCTGTAATACAAAATACAAAAGCGTGCGAGTAGTTGAAAAGATTCTCAAAAGAGGGATTGTACAAATACTGTATTGTATTAAGATTAAATCAGTGAATTAACGCGCAATATTTGGACCATTGATTTTAGAATACCCTGTATGTGACATTTATGGCTCATACATACTATACATGCGCGTAATATATGCTCTCTGTATCTAATAGCCTAATAGCACTATTTGACAGCGATGCTATTTGATCCAATATACGACGACGTCCGCAGATGAAGTTAAGGAATATTTACTATTCCGTCACAATAATTAAACATTTCGAATATTTGTATCTTTACAATAATTTAACTTATCAAATGACAAAAGTATACGCAGAATGGAACATTGTACTTACTCTTATCCATTTCGGTCATTCTTTGAAAATTACCAGATATGTAGTCAACAGTAGTTTATTAATTACATCACTTTTAACAAATCTTATACGTGAGTGGCTTTTTTCCTTTTAAGCCTATTACAAGACACTTTACGTGATGTATTATCTCTCGAGTTATCACCTTGTTTCCTCAATTATCAAGTGAACTTTCATTCTAACAATACGAGCTCATCTCTCAGCGACAAGTCAATGTCGTCTTCCGCCTCTTGTATTTACGAATCTGTGTTAAGCGGTTACTGTCACGACAAACACTGCATGACTGTTCTTCAAGTAGAGTCATGTGCATCGCAGAAATGTATGCGCGATCCTCCACCCCTGCAGGAGTCATGATAACGACGATTAAGCGGTGTGTCTGTCCCGTAAAAACCTTCAAATCCCCTCATTGTTCCTGACCTCGTCACTCGATACACAGGAAATGTAGACTTTGCTGCAATTTTTACAATATCAAAAAGAAATCATAAGAAGGACCATGCTTCTTATACGTGCTTATCTTCACACACATAATACTAATAACGCAGTACAAAGGGCATATTAATTATGCGCATGTTGTTTTCCTGTTTTTGTATACACAGTTTTATCTTTTACTACATTGTTACCCGCAAGATCATATACTGCACATCTCTCGATAAGATATTATCGTTATGCATTTATGTGACGATAACGACAAATAAATAAAATATTTCTCCGTATCGCGTACAAATCGCGTACGAGATAGTGTCGTTTCCCATTGAGCTGTAAATAGACGGCTTGTGTGATTATTGAAAATTTATGGCAACTACTACCGCGACTAATATTTACCCGGACGTAAATCACTAACAATGCGGTGGAGGTGAAGAGCGAGCGCGTGATCGAATATATGTTTCGTAGTAATTGCTGAAAGAAGTCAATCTATTGCGTATGTGGAAGCCACTGTAGGCTGTAATTTAATTCGCTTCCATTGTCGGTATCTTTGTCAAACACGAGATCGACAACAACACAGCAGTGGTATTAAACAAACCATGCCAGTCATTAATGACTGAATATTTTTATCTCAAGATTTGCAAAAGACTGTCTTTAATTCTAAACGATTTTCAGCTTTCCTTTTTCTTCATAATTACTCTCCATCATTTATAAGTCGATATCCATGCACTATAATAAAATTAAGTGTTAAATTTGTACATATATATATATATATATATATATATATATATATATATATACTATCTAATGATCGAGCAAACTCGATTATTCACTCCATTACGTCAATGGATAATGATTGCATTATACTCCCATGTCAAGCCGTTTCAAAAGAAACTCTAATCGTCTATTCGACTTTTTAATTGCATCACGAAACCGATAACGTATATTATATACGCATCTAAAAAACACATCGCATTTATCTAAAAGTCAGATAACACTGGACAACACAAAATAACTTTTTTATTTACCCGAAGGTTCGATAAGTCACCTCTTGTAAATTTTTGACTGCTAAACACGAATCTAAGCACGGAATGTCTCTATCACGTCAGGATTTCGAAAAACTTGGCGGAAAAGGCGCTAAAAAACGTGTAGTCTAAAATTTATATGAAATAACTTGTTAAATCTTAAGGCAAATCTTAGTGTTGCTGAATTATTGCAGATAAATTAATCTAATTCAGTATATCTCATCTCATGCAAGTTATATCATCATAGGCATCATCAACAGCTAAAACAAATCAATCAGATAATAACATGACTAAAAATATTGGATGATTACCTCTTGTGATGGCGATACTACACGGAAAAGAAATTTCAGTTCATATAACTGAATGAGTATCAGACGTAAAGCTCACCGAGGAGAAAGATTATATTTTTGTCACTATGATCGAAAACATTCGTCTGAACGTTGCATTAAAACTCGATTCAAATAACTGAGAACGGTTGGCTGAGTAGAAATATAGAAATCTTTTTATCCTTATAACCAGATTTTCGTCTGATATTCCCAGGTAACAAAAAATTCATTTACACTAATAGATCGTGTTTTTTTCTACGTATAGTTGTATTTACAGATTTGTCCCTCTATCACTTCTAAATTTATTTTCATCTCCGCATGATCTCCATATTAGATGAAGCAATATCACGGTCTCATGTTTAATTTTGATATAACTAAAATTAAAATCGTTGCGATTACGATGTATCTACACTACCCGCAATATTTTTTTCAGGACTCAAGCAATTAATAAACAAACAATCGTATGATGCAACATTCGCATTTCTTCCTTAATACTTGGAAAAGCAAAATCGTAAAAATGAATGTGCTCGCAAAAAAGCAGGTAATGCGCGCTGATTATGCCGGCCGATGCCGGCCGATGCCGGCTTTTTAGTAGATATCGCTTTAGGCGAAATCGAGATCAGCGATCGTTTTCTTGTTCACATTCCTCAACCGGTACTTTTTATCGTGATTGACCGGCAATCCCGCGAACAGTAACCAGGAACTAATTACAGTAATTTTGCACGCAAACTGGAAAAATGCATATTTCACTGAGAATTTCCCCGTCGTGACGTGCATAATTCTCACATTACCGCGTAATTAAAACCCTCGTTTCGGTGCGCTTCTTTTCGCTTTGTGCGCTCTGTTTAATTGTGCGTCGAACGAGTTTGCGAGGTTACACGCCGAAATCGCAAGGTCGAATCGCCTTCACGCGATTTAAAGTCAATACGCCTTTCAATTTGTGATCATAAGGTGCAAATATATGTGCAATTATATGTCTACAAATATGATAATCACTCTCTCTGAATTAATCCATAAACTGCGATGACCCACAAGTCGACATGCTATTTTACACCTTTATTAACAAATTTTTAATTACTTGGTATACCCTAACGCTGACTGACTATAAGCTCGCAATGATTTCATCAGAAGTAGGAGTAACTCGGTAATTTCCGATGTCGTAAAAAGAAATGTTTTCCACACTTACTTCAGTCAGCGTGGGGGGATCCGATGGCGATATTTACTTTCATTTGGACAGTCTTAATCCAGTCTTTAGCAAAGACACCTCAAGAGTTCGTTTTCGACGATTTTTGTAAATTAAATTGCATCCTGCGCTCTCTCACTTCCTGTTCTCCGGGATTATGATTTTACTTTTGAATATCTCAAGTTTGTCGCCATAATTTTCATATTGTGCAGCGAAAACTATAAAATATACAGATAGTATTGGAAAATTGTACTGGTTGTAATTGGAGGGTCGATGATAGTATTATCGCGATAGTAAAATCTTTTACTAGCCGAAAAATCTCTTATCGCGAAAGCAGGTTCACCTAGAGAAATAAAATACATAAGGTATACGTGATACATTATGCACACGACGCGAGTTACTTAAAATTTCGTATAATAAAATAAAATAAATGAGAAATTTTATTTCACTATATTTCTATATATCCGTTCGGTTTTCTGACGGAGGCAACCGATACGCGATGATTATGGCCAATTCTGTACGGGCAAACGTAATTTTCTCAGGTTGTGAAACAAGTTCTATCGGGGAACAATGCCGAGTACTAAGACGAGGATCGCTATTGTGGGAGCTGGAGTGGCTGGTTTGGTAGTGGCTCGTCATGTAACTTCTAAATTGGATGTTTATAGCCTCACTGTATTTGAACAAACAGATCAAATCGGCGGTACTTGGGTCTATACCGATGAGACGCATCTCGATAAGCATGGACTTCTCGTGCACAGCAGCATGTACAAGAATCTAAGGTAAGGGCACGTATCAGTCAAATAAATATAATTAAAATATAATTAATAAGATATTAGAGAACACGAATTAATCTATCCTCATCTAGAGATTTGACAAAAGAAGAATTGATAAATTTTTAACGTTATAACGCAAAAATGAAGATACATGTAATTAGAGAGCATGTTGACAATTACCACGAAAAATAAGCAGAATTAAATCAATAACAAGCATCAAGGAACGAAGTTTGTAACTTTGTCGAACGCTTCGTCGAAACTTTGTTTAATGACTGAGCTGTAACACTGGATTAGCTGGAGAAACCGCTCTTCGTTTGTTCCTAAAATTTTATGACGATTTTAATTCAGTACGATTGTAATAATTGCATTTATTAAAAATTGAATATTAATTTATAGAATAATCAGAAAATTAAAAAAGACTAATTATCTTCAGACATTTACATATCTAATTCACAGATGCAAAATTGTCAGATCGAAATGCCTCGTGATTTCGAAATGTATTTCAGAAAGTTGCGTTTTCCCACAATGCAAAAATCCTTCTTCCGTACTTTGAACTTTATGTAATCATACTTAGTATCCATATTTTAGACTTTATGTAATTATATTAGCCTATATACCGGTAGATAAAAGGATGCGACCAGATGACTCTCGTGTTAGAGTTTGTGATTTCGTTGTTATTCGAACGGTTAGAGTCACATCTCCATGACAAGAAACCTTCGTCAATCTGGCCTGGAAAAGTAAATACGGCATTCAATCAATCGTGCATTGAGCCGTCAACCACTCTAACGCATAAACGCGATAAACTTCGCTGACACGCGATACACTTCATGACATATTTACGAGATAGTTTTGTACAACGACCAGTTCCGGAAAAGTACGCGCCGATGATAACTCGATGATATGATAAATCTGTCACCATGTCGATCGGCTACAAGAGTTCAGTGAATTGTCAAATTTCAAAGATCGTCTCGTAAATATTCATATTTTTGTCAGTATACGAATGCGCTTTTTCCGCAACGTAATTCCTTATTCAATAATATTATTTCTAAATAACACATGATTTCCTTATTGTTCAAGAGAATACAATTTTTCCCGATTCTTACAGGACAAACATACCGAAAGAGGTGATGCAAATACCTGATTTCCCTTTTAAGGATCAAAACAGCCCGTCTTTCATTCATCATAGCGTAATAAGGCAATACCTCTTGGAGTATGCAGATCACTTCAATCTTCATCCGTATATTAAAGTGAGTCCCTGAATCACATAGGTTATTTGCACGACGAAGAATGCATCGTCCGCTACTTTCAGTTGAACACTTTAGTGAAGCACGTGGAGCCGGAAGTTCTGACAAACGGTCAGACATTGTGGACGCTGACATACGTAGATCTGAAGACCAAAATAGAGACTACGAGAACTTACGATGCTATGGTGCTGTGCAACGGTCATTATACCGTCGGACATATCCCACGTATTCCAGGTATCGAGAGTTTCAACGGTGATTGCATTCACAGCCACCAATACAGGCTACCGGAAATCTATGCCGGCAAGAAAGTTTGCATACTCGGCGCGTCCTGGTCCGGCATCGATATCGCCCTTGAAGTAGCGCAACACGCCGATAAGGTATGTCTATCTTCAACATATATGGGGTGAAAAATAGTGTATCAAGTAACTTAGAAAATGTATAATAATTATAATAATGATCATGATTAATCATCTTTTTTTATTATTTAGGTGTACCTAAGTCATAATTTGCCCGAACCGATCGATTTCAAAACGTTCGTCAACATCGAGCAGAAAACCGGGGTCGCGTCCATCCAAAGAGACCTCTTTACCTTCCTTGACGGTTCCTCGACAGAAGTAAACAGCTTCATATATTGTACAGGTAGTAATCATATCAGATAGTAATATTATCGATAAATATGATTTTCATCATTTCTGATGATCAATATTTCCCCAGGTTACGAGTTCACGTATTCTTTCATGTCGGCTAATGTCAAAATACATACGGACGATAATCACGTCGAGCCTATCTACAAATATCTGGTGCATATGGACTATACAAATCTGTTCTTCATGGGTCTACCAGGGCTCGTGATACCGTTCCCTATGTTTCATATACAAGCGCAATATGTTTTGGGTATTCTCGAGGGCCGCATCGTGTTACCATCGCCACAACAGATGCGCGAGGAGTACGAGAACGAAAAGAAATACTTACTAGACCAGGACATCCCGGTAATTGATTGCAAATTATAATCATAGAAAGGAAGTTACGTTTTTAAATAATAATGAAATAATAGTAATTCATTTGAAATTAAGTTATTAAAGACATTTCTTTGCTATCTCTTTCTATATTAGATAAGATACATCAATAAACTGAAAGACAGGCAATGGGCTTACTACGACGAGATCGCAGCCGCTGCGAACGTACCGAATTTTCCGCCAGTAATCAAGAAGATTAACGATCACGTCAACGAGATGCGCGACACAAACATCACCGGATACAAGAATTACAAGTATCACATTATCGACAACGACACGTTCAGCGTATCTTGTTATAAACCTCGTTAAACGCGAAAAAAGAAAACTAAAAGTGCAATCAATGTTACCACAAAACGAAATCAGCGCTCGAATTTGCAAAAATGAGTCTAATGTCTAAGACAAGTTGCGTTTCGACCGGCGATTAGTTGTGTAACGAGGATTAGACAAAATTATGGAAAGCATTTATTAACTGAAGTATTAACGAGAATGTTTATCACTAATTACGATGCGCGATAAGGTTCGGTGTTTCTCTACGAGATCGGCAATTATAACTTTTTTAACGCTAAACGATATAGAGAAGATAAGATAACAAGAGCAGCGAATCATTACGTTATCCTCGCGACAGAAATATTACATATATGTAATATTTTTCTATGTTCTTACGATTACACTAATGGTCAGACTTTTATGCGTAGTAAAATATCATTTCGTGTATGTATCACGTACAATAAAATTGAATATAGTTTCGCCAAAATCGTCGTGAAATGAAAGAGTGAAGGACAGGAGCAACGGCAAGTACGGAAAAACTGAAATTATACGGTAGGACAATCGTAAAGATATATTGTGGAAGTACATTTCTCCCCATTACGGGCTTACACATTCTACAATCCTCTTTCTTTCTGTGTTGTTTCTTTCCCCGATGTAGGGTATAAAAATGAAAAAGCTATCGCTTCTGCTTGCAATTCGATGGCAAGATATAATGATCAGCGACGCACCGGTTGCGCTGGTATATGTAGAGTCAATTAAATTACTTACAATACGATTGGAAATATTACTGACACAATTTCAGCGCTGCGTCGAGGTGCGCGGGATTACAACTCGTCATGCGCCTGCAAGTGAATCATCACAAAGTCGTAGAGATCATCGAGATTGCGCGAGCCATTGTACTCGGAGACCTTGCGTCCATTTCGATATAAGTACAACGACGGGAAACCGTCGACCTCTTGCTCGTTGCATAACTCTTTGCTTGTTTCAAGCGTGCAGTCGACCTTTACGATGTTCACATTCTCGTTGCCAAAGAACTTTTTACCCAACTGCTCCCACGTGGGCGCGAGACGCTTGCAATGGCCACACCAGGGCGCGAAGAACTTAACAAACGAGAGTCCCTTCTCTACACCATGCTGGAAACTATCGGCAGTTAGACTTAGTATGGCATGCGGCGTGCTATCGTTGCTTTCGCTCTTCTGATTCGATTCGTCAGCGTTCTTGCCCAGCATCATCGACACGTAGGCTTTGAGCTCCTCGTGGGTGCGCTGACCAGTGTATTTATCTACCTGCAAATTTGTTCATTCTTATGTGAAAACAGCACTCTGTACAAAATGCTCAATGAGAAGCTTTGCTCATGCATACTTTCTTTCCATCTTCAATCCACAGCAATGTAGGATATCCTTTGATATCAAATTGGCCGCAAATGCTGCGATGTTGAGTGCAGTCTATTTTAGAAATGCCAACTGCATCGTCATGACGAAGGCTGTTGGCTAACTCGTCCCATGTCGGTGCCAATTTCTGACAGTGTCCGCACCAAGGTGCATAAAACTTGACAAAGTGATGTCCAGAGGAAACGTGTTTCTCAAATGTATCCTCTGTCAACTCTAATAAACCATTCACTGCTTCTGGAGGGGAAGGGGCAACATCCTCAAGCTGCAACCATGTTCTTTGTGATATTAATTCATACAAAATAACACAATGAGAGAATGCACTGCACATACCGGAGAAGAACTACCTAGTTGGTCATTAATGAAAGAAGTCAGAGAAGGTAAATCTCGAGTTCCTCTAAACTTAATGCCTTTGGTTTCACCAGCCTTGTAAAACTTCAGCCTGTATTCATAATCCTGTATTTATAAGTATATCCAAGAAATATGAAATCAGTTTCAAATAACTTTTAGATTAGTATTTAGCACAATGTATAACAAAATTATTAGATAGAAATAACTTTGACTATAGATATAGCTTAAAAAACTAAAGTTTACAATTTAAATGGATGAAATATTAAACTGATGGAAATATTAGTATATAAGAAATTATAATAAAATATATATGAATATATGGTAAAATATATAAATAGAAAGTAAATTTTTATTTACGTAGGATATCCAGTGACATCATGTTCACTACACAAAGTACTCTCGGTAGTACAGTCAACTTTTGCAATTCTTATATTATTGCCTTCTTCATTTGACATCTCCGCCAACTGTTCCCATGTAGGTCCAAGTCTTTGACAATGTCCACACCTTGAGAAAAAAAGTATCATTCATAACAATTAATATTAATGCATATATGTAGAAATCATATTTTTCCCTTTACTTTTGCTATCTAATTGATACAGGACAAAATTACATAAAATAAAATCATGTTTTACTTACCATGGTGCATAAAACATAACAAAATGATTCTTTTTTTTAATTTCCGCGAAAAAATTGTCGTTGGTGTACTGAGGAGTATGCACGTCATCGTGACCATTGATCATTTGACTCAACATAAACAGAAAGAACAAGATCCATCGTTTTGATGTAATAAAATCTGCTGGATTGATCGTCATTGTGAACATCGAATTTATTGCACTGTACGAATTTATTGCACTATAGGAATTTATTGCACTAAACGTATTACACGAAATATTGTTACGAGAAGACGCAAAAGGATTACGAGTCAGCAATGTCTTTTTTCACTATCTAATTTATGGAAACTTTAAACCTAAGATTGACCACTAAACACGATTCACCGTGGGCGAGGTACTTTTAGAAAATTGCTTCTGTAACATAATATTCTGTCATAGATAAACGGTATCTCGTATCCTGAAAATTCAGAGAACTTCCTCGAGCTTGCAGGCCTGTTGCTCCCAGGCTCGCACTTCGAACTTATCGAACCGCGGATTCCGCCCACCATATGATATAAGCCAATGGAAGCAACCATGAAAGTACAATCATTCTGACGTAAGAGTGGATAATATGATAGTTCGATAAACTGATATTCAATTTTCTTTCAATTAAAAGATTGATTATCGATGTTTTTAAATATTTATTTCTGTGATAGGTTTTTAACTACAAATCTTGCTAACAAGCTAGGATAAAAATTTATCGATCCGTTGTTCAGCCGTGTAGGGTGAAATTATATGATAAAGCCAATGTCCCATTAAATTCTTAACGGAACGGAACGCGCGCACCAATTATAGCTTCTGCACACAGGACGCGGTAATGCTTGCCGCGCGGCGGAAGTTCGCGTAACAGCCAATCAATATGCTGCTTTCCGTAATAACCTTCTAGCTCTTATGGAAAAACAACATATTGATTGGCTGTCGCGTGGACTTCCGCCACGCGGCAAGCATTAAGCCCATCACACACAAATTCCGTAATAACTTAAATCGTAAGCGTAAGGAAATCGACCAATCCCAATCAAGTATTCGGCCTTTGTAATAATGGAGGAGTTACGAGAGCCGAGTGCTCGATTGGGATTGGTCGATTTCTTTACGCTTACGTTTTAAGTTCTTACGGAATTTTGTGTGTGATGGCCTTTACCGCGTCCTGTGTGCAGGAGCCATTAGTTGTAGATATATATCATGACCAATGACGACTCAATTTTGTTTATGGTTACGGATACGGATATGTTTACGGATCATTGTTTGGTTTACATCGTGCACTTGATACGCGTACTAAATAGTAACTTTCTATTAGATAATCTTAATATCGACGATATATATAAACAACGATATATTAAGCTGATATAATACTCATTAACAAAACATATTGTATTGATTGAATGTGTCGCCGTTGATATGCATTGTCGATATCAAGGCTGCGTTCTGAAATTCACTGCTAGTACTGAAATTCTATAGTATATATGACATATAGATTTTCAGTATTGGAAGTGAATTTCGGAACGCAGCCTAAGATTATTTAATAGAAAGTTACTATTTAGTACGCATATCAAGTGCACGATGTAAAACTGGCCACACATACTTTCCGTAACCGTAATGGCTCCTGCACACAGGACGCGGTAATATTTGCCGCGCGGCGGAAGTTCGCGCGACAGCCAATCAATATGCTGCTTTTCGTAATAACCTTCTAGCTCTTACGAAAAAACAATATATTGATTGGCTGTCGCGCGGACTTCCGCCGCACGGCAAGCATTACTGCGTCCTGTGTGCAGGAGCTATAAGACGTAACGTAAGAATTGACCAATTACGATCGAGTATTCACAATTCGACAATTCTCAATATGATTGGTCAATTCTTACGTTACGTCTTAAGGCCAAATCACACTAGCGATTGGCGATTGACGATAGAAAATTAAGGTGTATTTACATGGGAGCATCGAACGTCAAGCGTTAAAGCGATAGCCAATCAACGTGCCACTTTCCGCAGAACTACAAGTATACTTCTGATATGTTGATTGACTAACGCTTTAACGCTCGACGCTGGAACGCTCCCGTATATTAGTACCTTTAAAGATTAGATTTTAACGAATCAACAAGCTTCAGCCTTGGCTTGCTTTGTTTTAATTGGTCAAGTTCCAATCTTCAGTCGTCCCTTTAGGGCTGCGTTCAGATTCCCCACCCGGGTGTATTCTATTACTAGAAGTGCTATAGTATATGTCACATATATTATAGTGTTTCTAGTAATAGAGTGCACTCGGATGAGGAATCTGAACGCACCCTAGGACAAAAGCATACAGGCGAATTTAACCTAAATTGCATTTTAAATTAATAATCACAAATATATATATCCTCCGGGAAGGTCGAAGCGCGGTGTTTAATACATCAAACTTAAAGAAACCAAACAAAAATTAAATAATTTATGCGAATACTGAGAACACCATAAACCTTTAAGATAAAAGTAAATAATTTTATTCTTGATGCAAGAAAGATAAAAATTTAATATTACTGATGGTTATAATATTTGCAATGAATATTTGAACGCTGCTAATGAAAATTCGAACGCGTTATATCTAATTTGAGTTTTTTAATAGTTTAAACGTATCTTAACCAAGATAACTTTCTCTCACGGCTGTTTACAAACAAATGATTCTATTCTAGTGATATTAAATATAAAATTTCAATAACACATCAACTTCTACTAACTATATATATACATGTGTGTATATTATTGATTAATACTGAATCTTGACAAGGAAACAACGACGCATGTAAGAAAAATTTTTAATTTCAACGTACATGAAAAGATTTGAAAATAATGCAATAATTTTTTTCTTTTTTACTTTGCGAAAGTTTCACTTTCCTCAAGCGAAATAAGAAAGAATATTTATAAATATGTAAAATAAGTTTCTTTATAAGAGCATTCCCATATAGCACAAATGTTGAATAGATATCCTAAGAATGTTCTAAAAATATTCGAATATTCTTAGAACGTTCTTAGGATATCTAGTGAACATTTGTGCTGTATGGGTTGTGTCGAGAAATAACTGCAAGTCGAAATTACATTAGTCACTTGTGTATTTATACGTGCGAGTGCATCCGATTTGTTTATGTATTGTAGAATCTCTTTAATATGGATTTACATGTCGTTATTAATAAGGCGACATTGCTTCCTTCGGCACCTAATGCTAAGTTCTATCGATTGGAAGGTTTAAGTCAAGCTGAGAAAGACCGAAAAATGAACGAAAAAACAGTGAAAACACCACCAAATTTAAAGGTAAATATATTTATATATATATATATATATATATATATATATATATATATGCACACACACACACACACACACATATATATATATATGTATGTATGTATGTATATACGCACAAGGTACATTAAAAATGTTTCAACACGATAATAGCTATTCTAACCTTCTATCTACTTCTTTGTTCTTTGCAAATGTAATTTGTCTTGTAAACAACACTACTTTTCTCCTTACATAAATGAAAAAAATTGGGATAGAAATTTCTTTTTTTTCATTATTTCAGATCTCTGTTTTCTACTCAGAACTTTGTTTAGCTCACAATGTTTAAAACTGTTTCTTTTCTTAGCAAAATCTATAAGACAATTGAAATTTTAACTTTTTCCAAAATAACTTACAATGTAGACAGAAAGCTAATAATAGCATATCATTTATGTGACCTTTTTAACTTTTATAATTGATTTATTACTAGTTATTGGAGAGTGATACTGATGATAGTACCAAGGAAAGTGATATAAATAAAATAAATTCTTCCTTTGATAGACATAGAATATTAGCAGCTATTAGAACGGTGAGTCGACAATTTTGCATGATAATCAATCAGAATATTGGTAACATAGCTAGTGATTTTATCAAATACTACGATATTAAATAAGAATTTTACTCAGATAAAACTTAATAATTTAGTTTATTGGAAAAGATATGGTAATAAAAGAATATGTGTTTATTAAGATTTCATATATATATATATATATTTATATATTTATATATATATATATATATATATTTGTATATGTGTGTGTATCTTATATACATACATATAAAAACTAGATCAATTTTTAATTGTACAGATACATGGTGGCGTAAATTTATCTAATTTAGATTGGAAAATAAGTTGGGAAAAACGTATTGAGGATATGAAAAAGTCTGAATCAAAGGAATCATGTAAATCATCTTTGCATAAAGACACAAAAGTGAACTCTGAAGATCAACCTGAATTGAAAACCTCAAAACATCAATTAATGGAGAAAAATAATAAAATATTTAGAAATGCTGCAATTATGGGTCTCGTGAAAATCAACAAGATATCATTAGAAGACCTAGCTGATTCAAGTAACAAAAATTGCACAAAGGAAGAGAGCAGACTAAAAACTTTGGTAAAAATAAAAATTAACACGTTATTTTATATAACTATATGTACATTCAGTGTTGTGCTTAAATAGTTTTAAAATCATCTAGATGAGAGATCTAAACCATCTAAGCATAACACTGCATACCCTATATATATATATATATATATATACACAGCAGGGTTAGGAAAGTTATTTTTTAAAAGTAACTAGTTACAGCTACAGTTCCCTTTGTTGAAAATGTAACTAGTTACAGTTACAAGTTACTGGCTATGAAAAGTAACTTGTTACAGTTATTCAAAAAGTAACGAGTAATTACTTTTAAGTTACTTTCTTGAAATGATTGTAAATTATTATTATAAATACAAAAATCTTACATTTTAAGCTTTACTAAAATGTAAGAATTTAATTTTATAATTAATATCTATCACATTAATTAGTCAATCCACTTAACAAATTTCAAATCTGTACTTAATATAATAAAAATTTAATGATAGCCTTGTAGAGGTAAAAGAATTTAATCACATGCTCCACAAATATGTTGATAAATTTCCCAGATAGCACAGAGAATTTAAAGAGAATGCAGTTATATGTCACCAATTCTGAGTTCATTTTTAAATGTAAAAAAATTTTTTTCACTGAACTTTGAAGAATTCCTTTTGCATCTGAAAATAACTCAGAATTGGTGACATATAACTGGATTCTTTTTTAATCTTTTTTGAATTCTCTGTGCTATTTGGGTTATTAAATTAATATATGATTACAATATAATTTTAATTTCATTTTATGTTTCCCAAGTAACTATTAAAGTAACTGTTAAAAAAGTTACAAGTTACTAAAAATAAGTAACTAAGTTAAGTTATAGTTACAGATGGGGAAAAAGTAACTGTAACTTTATTAGAAGTAATGAGTTACTTCCCAACCCTGATACACAGTACCTTCCATAAGTTTGGAAACACAGATAAACATATTAAAATGGATATTTTATAATAATTCTGTTTCGCACTTACCTTTAAAAGATCGGCATTTATGTCATTTGATAGAGCAAAATTTCAAGTTTAGGAATCCATTTTCTGTATTGCTGTTGATGAAGTTTAATGGACTCATGAGCAACCGAAGTCAAAATGCTCAATTTTACTTTAACATTTAGTAGTACGGAAACACAAAATTGTAGAGAAATTTTTTCATAAAGTAAATTGTATAGAAAATTTCAATCTTTTACATAAAAGAAACAAAATTTTGTCAAATTTTTTTTGTGTTCGTAGCATGTCTCAATTGGAACAAAACAAGCCAAGACTGAAGCTCGTTGATTCCTAAAAATCTAATCTTCAATCGTCAATCACCATTCACTAGTGTAATTTGTCTTTTATGAAAACAAAATGGACAAAATGGAAAACTTCTCAATTTGAGATATGCTACGCAAGACAAAATCTGAGAAAATTTTAATTTCTTCCGTGTAAAAGATTAAAGTTTCCTATACAATTTACTTTCTAAAAAAATTTCTCTATAATTCTGTGTTTTAATATTACTAAGGGCTCATGACTTTATTAAACTTTATCGCACAACAATACATTAAACTTTATCGCACAACAAAGTGGATTCTTAAATGTAAAACTTCATTCTATCAAATGACATAAATGCCAATCTTCTAAAGGTGCGAAATAGAATTATTATAAAATATCCATTTAAATATCCTTATTTTTATCTGTGTTTCCAAACTTATGGAGGGTACTGTACACACACGATTATCATTAAATTACTAAAATTTTTTTTTTATTTATATCAGGATACACAGAATGACAGTGAATATCAAATAGAATTTGTTCCTCTTCATGAAGATCCTGAGGTTTTTATTCATCCTTTACGAATGGGAGTAGATACAAAAAGGTTCAAAGACATAGATTTTACTGTCCCACGTGTTGGCAAGAAGATAAAAGAGACACCGCAAGAATATTTTATCAGAACAACTAACGATGATTCGTTTGAGTTTGTGAAAAAGAACAAAAATATAGTATAAATAATAAAAATCATACACCAAGATAATATGACGGACCTACTCTATATTTTTATATATATATATATATAT